TTTGGGCCAGCTACTTGCAACTTTTGTACTGGAAGACTTCGTGATCAATGATTACCCAGAAACTTTAAAGACTCCCTATCTCTATCAGTTTTGAACCGTGCCTACCTTCTCCCACTATACTTCTAACAGAGTTTTGCATATTTGTGAAATGAAGAATACACAGAGACCCCATGAAGTACTATTGCACGACATTCTATTATTTTTCCCTCAAACCTATTGGAGATGTAATTAATCCTAACAGTTTATTTTGCAGGTAGGGGAAAAAAAAAAAACCCAGAGACGGCACTTTAGAAATAAGCCACTGTTGTCTTTATAAAACACAGAATTGTGCTGCTGCTGTTGCTTGCTTCAGAAGGAACTGTACATTACAGCTGCTGGGATAGTTTCACAATGGACGGGACAAGGTACAGCTCAAAGCAGGACACAAACACAAGTCTCAATGGGAAACAAATGCAAACAAGTACACAGCTGCGGGGCTCGAGGGACATTTCCCCATCCATGCTGGACTTGAGAGGAATAAAAAGTCTAGAAAATAAAGTGAAACCCAGAGTAGTCACACATGCCCACCACATGGCTGCTAAGTGCAACATCATACACCATCAGGTTGGACTATGTGCACAGGAAGTCATTTCATTTTTCCTTATTGCTTTGACACCAGAGGACTCAGTGCATTGAGACACATTGTCTTTACTTACACGATTCTTGGAGACTTTCTGATTTCCCTTTTTAAGGAAGAAAATCTACCTTCCTTACATTATTCTGTTTTGTTTTGAGCCCATTCTTTCCATTCCCTTTCCTGGGCTATCGTACAGCAGCCAGAGGTTCTAAGTAAGTAGGAGCAGAGTAAGGGGAGAGCACCAACCCAGCCTCTCTCCTGGCTCAGGGAGAAGGCAAGTCCTAGTAAGTGGGGAGAAAGAGAAAACCAGAGAACCCCCCTTTCCCAGTCTGCTTAGAAGGCCAAGAAGCAAAGACTGCCTTGCATATCCCTGCCCAAGGAAGGCATCTTAACTACCATCCTGGGTTATCCAAAGCCCAGTAAATTAAAAATACAGAACAAAACCTTTCCTGACATAAATTTCCAAAACTGCCTTTTGGCTAGGTGAAAGGTGACTCTTCTACCCTGAAAGGGGAGAAACTTCATCCTCCTTTGTGATGCCTGATGCCAGGTCTACAACTCTGAGCATTCTTATATATTCCATGAGCAAAGAAAACTGTGTCCCTGGCATCATTCACATAATTCTGGCTGAAAGAAAACTGTCCAAAAACATTGCTGCTCAGCCATAGAGAGGCCATTGAGAAACTCTGTTGCAGTTGAGAACTAGATTTTGAGTAGTTTTAAACTTTTAGGTTAGTTATGTTCAACTTTAGTCATATTCCAAGCATTAAGTTCCCAGTAACAGTAGCTCCAGGGCTATCCCAAGTGGCTGGCAATAGCACCTCAACCAATGGTCACACTGGACAGAATAAAAGCAGCACTCTCCTTTGCCACCTCTCATCCAATCTCTCTCCATTCTCTTTTCACTTTATTTCTATATCCATCCTCTAGCTATTCTTTAATACCCAACTACTTCAACTCTAGGACATTCTCAGCAAAGAGAGGCCCCAGGTAGAGAGAAAAAGAAGCAGAGCTAGAAACAAAAGCAATCAGTTCCACAAAATGGAGGTGTTAAACCTGCCAGAAACCATACTGATTTTGTCAGTTAGACAGGCCTGCTGATCTGACCTAGTGTAAGCTTGAGGACAGTGCAACCCAGGGTTACCACCACAGTATGAGAAACAGGTTTTTGGTCGTCTGTAGTCAATGAGCTAAGCCTGACCTTGCCAACTAACAGTGGGATCATTGCAGCCATGCAGAGAATTCATTATCACACAGGCAGACAGGCAGGCAGGCCAGCCAGCAAGCAAGCTGAGTGAAGGGAGAAAAGGAAAAGGAAGCCAGGGAAATCAAGAGGAAAAGGAAAGCTCAACAGTGAGGGTGAGGGAAAAGAAGATCTAAGATGAAGCTGGACTCTTCCCAGTGCTTCCTTGGCGCTTAGCGCTTGGCGCAATGCACCATTTAAACTAAACCCAAACAAGCCGACTCTCGCTGCAACACCGCTTTTAATGGTGTGTGCCCTTTCGGTGAGAACTCACATGGTCAGCAGTAGTTACATCTCAAGGATTTGTTGGCTTTTTGTTTTGTTTTGTTTTTTAAGTCACAGCAAGAAGTTGTATCACCCATGTTACTTTTCTTGCTCTTCCTTTTTATTGTTTTCTGAGACATGGTCTTGCTATGTAGTACACCATGGCCTGGAATTCACTGAGCAGCCCAGGCTGACCCTAAACTTTCGAGTCCTCTGCTTCAGTCTTAGTACTGAGATTATAGAATTACAGACATGGGCCATCATGTCCAACACTCCCTTGCTTTTATTTCTTAAATGGCACATAAATACCATAAGACTAAAACTGATTTCTAATTCCTAGCTTGAAACCCAACTGGAGAGAGTGACACAAAGAAAAAAGGAGAGAACAAAAAACTTGTTGCTGTAGTTATGACAGCCACCTGTTCCCTATGGGCATCTGCAAATGCTGGTGAATGACTGGACCCTCCAGGAATAATGCCCTTATCCAAACCTCCAAATGTACCCAAGAGGACAGCACACGTCTGTGGACAGCTCCCTCCCCGAAGGGTGATGGAACAAGAAGTAGACTATATATGAAGGCGATGGACAGGGCAGATGGAGTGTTGGCATCACTCTCTTTAGGCACTTGTGTAAGGAATGTAGGCTCTCCAGTGAGCTGCCTCTTCCCAGAGCCCTCTGTTCTGTTCTTCAGCTGGGGCTGTGCCCATGGGGCACTCCATACTGTAGCCAGCAGAAAAAAAGTACAGGAGGAACTACTGAACAGTCCTGGGTTTTTTCCATAAGGAATGTTTGTGCTACCTTTTGGGAAGTTACTAAACAATGTAGCCAGCCACAACTGAACCTGGACTGTTTGCATAGCAAATCCGGGTCTGTACAAGGGCTACTAGGGAGAGGTTTTGACTCCACAAGCCAGGATTCAGACCTTCCTTTCTCCAGCTGGCCTCTAAGCCCAGGCTAGATCTAAAATATCATGGCTTCATCACCAGAGTAGGGCAAACCCTAAGCTCAGGCTCCCTTGAAGGGGACTCTGTACACCAAGGTTCAAATCCCCATCCCAAGCAGTATTGCAGGAAGAAAGAATGAACAGTCAAGGAAAGAGGGCGCCTTGCTTCAAGGTCAGCAAGGACAAAGCTAGAACCCACTTCTTCCAGTCCTGCAAGACTGCTAAACCCCAGTATCTCGAGAGAGGGGGAGAAAAGAAAAGTCCATGCCACCCACTCACATGCCCTAGTGGGAAACAGGAAAATTCATTTGTGTAAACAGAAGCAATAGGGAGCAGCAAAATTCTCTAGCCTGTCCAGAGGACATGCTAGAATCTCCATTAGTCAAGGATCAAAGGACAGTCCAGTCCAGAAAAAGGGAAGATTCACTTACAAGAAAGAGTGCAGGACTGGGCAGTGGAGGGAGGCTGTAGCAAGAAAAAGGTACTCTCTGCAGAAGGGGCAGAGGTTAAGCCCCACCTTAGGGAGACAAACACCCCTTACTTAGCCAGGCCAGAATACACATCAGGGACACAGTTCCTTCTGATGGCTCCATGGTTCTGGGATGCAAACTCATCCAGTATGAGAGGGATTTCCAGATTTTGGCAACAGACTCAAGTTATGATATAAAAATAACATTTAGTTTTCTGTTTTCCTATTTTAGTCCTAAAGATCTTCTGTTATTAGACACCCCAGTTAAGAAATATTGAAACAAAAGAGACTTGACCATCAGGGGGAAAAGAAGCCAAGAATGAGAAATGCTACCACGGTAACTCTAGACCTGGCAGGGCAGGGTGTGTGGGGCCAGGGAAAAGAGGAGGCTAAAGGGGAAAGGAAGGCCAAGGGCCAGTCATCTCAGCAGCTTGGAGACTTGTCACGTCTGAAAGTGCAAATGTCAATGGATTTTAACCATCTTGAGGTTGTGATCTTTTTTTAAAAGCTCAATGAATATGGAAGTCAATTCCTTCAAATGAAAAATAGCTGGCATTCTGGCTGGAGGCTTGCTGGCGATGGGCTATTTCTTCCCTCCCTCCCTCGCTCGCTCCCTCCCTCCCTCCTCTCCCACCCACACCCCACACCACAAAGAAAGGTACAAAGGTTGCAGTGCTGCAGCATAACCGTTACAGGGAAGGCACTGTTACCCACCAGCAGGCGGAAGGAAGACAGGGTCATGTCACTTCAGAGCTAAGTGCCATAGTGCCTTAAGTGTTACTAGGGGCTGGATGTCTGTCAGGGAAGAAGCATGTGGGGTAGAAAATATGGAGGGGAATAATTGGGGGTGAGTGGGGAGTGGTAGCTGGGGAGGAGCAACCCAAACCATTAGCATTAAAAATCTTCCTAAAAACTGGATTCTGAACCCATGAAAACATCTAGTATCCTAAAATATTGATCTGAATGTTTTCATTTTTCTTCTTAAACAAATCTAGACCTTTTCTGATTAAGGCTCCTAAAAATTCCTTCCCCCCTCCCACCCACCTTCTCAAGCCCCTCACTTTCTCAGCTAGAATTATCAAACCCAAACATACCAGCGTTTGACCACAGGACTGCAGAGCTGACCCTAGCAAGCTGTCAAGCATGAGTCCTTAGCACTGTGAGTCACATGAGACAACTGTGTGTATGGTGGGCACTAGTGCTGCCCCTTTTGGTCCAGTGGGGTCAGATGTGACATGATGGGGAGAGGGCAGAGGACATGAGGTTTCTATCAGAGATTTCTGGCTGGTAGTCTGTCTTGCTGGTCCTCTTCCCACCCTTATATCCCCTCTGTAGATAGAAACAAGGCCTCCTATACTCCTCCCGACCCCACCTCCCTCTTCCTTGCTTCCTCTGGATTTGGGTGGTACAGCTCCCAGGGCTTGGAAAGCTTTCTTCTATCCAGTGAGGTAACAGCGTTCTGCCTTCAAGCGAAGTACATGGTGCGTAGCGTATCCTGGTGAACCTGCACAGCTTTGGCCAGGGCCTGGGGGTCTCGTCCATTGCTCTGCCCTGATATGTGGCTCCCCTCTCCACTGAAAAAGAAAAGTATGAAAAGTCCTTCCTGGTAAACTGAACCGCTGCCAATTCCCTCACCCATCTCTATAGCACCAATTCACATACCAAATTAAGAGAAAAACACCAACCAAGGTTTAGGTAGGATAACATCTACTTCCTTCTACCAACAAAAGTTGAAAGAGTTGGTATGAGAAGCTGAAGCAAAAAGACAACAGCAAGCCTTTACCTGTCATGCTCCTTGTCCACCAGGTGGTACCGTGCCCGGAAAGCCACCAACCGGGCATAGTAGGCAGGTGCTGGGATAGAGACAGAACGTGTACATCGTACGTAAGTGTGGCACAGCTGGTATGTCAAGATCTGGAGTTCATCTGCTGTGAAACGGTTGTCGTCCCAAAGGACATAATAATGGGATGGTCGGCTGGTACCCTAAGAAAAAAAGATGGTTAAGTGGGCCCCGATTGGGTAGAGGGATAGCTGCTGACAAAAGAGCAATACTATGGCTATGGCTATGCTGGGTGACCATACCCCACTTGTCCCCATAAGACAGACATAAAATCACAAGTATTATAAACAACCTGCATGTGTCCTGGGGCCTACTCATAATAATTATGCTTTTAATATACTTAGTTATAAGAGACATATTCTAGATGCAGTAGAAATAACCAACTTAGCATTGACCCAACAAAAACCCCAGGACATGGCCCAGCTACCTGGATGCCTGCATGGCTGCACAGATAGAAGTCAAATTCAAATGGGTGAGTGATGTTGGTGTCCACAGTGGTCCCAGCGGGGATGTTACCACTCTTCCCAATCTGTAGAGACAAACACAACCAAGATCCCAAGACCTGCCAGGCCCTGACTAGGGTCTCAGCTGGATTCTACTCTTACTCTCCCAGAATTTCAAGCACAAATAAGTTTCTATTCTCACGGGGAACTAGGTCTTGAAAGAACAGGCTTCTAAAGTCAAGTGTTTGCTATTTACTAGCTGTGTGATCTTAGCAAGTCATTTAACCTTTCTGAGGTTAAACGGAAACATTAATAGTACCTACCTCACAGAGTTGCTGTGAGGAAGACTCCTTGAACAGTGTCTGGCACATAGGAGAAGTTCAATAAATGGTAGTTCCCTTTCCCTCTCTGGGAGCTGGTCTATATATAGGGTCTAGGCCAGGGAGCTAGGAGGAGGAGAGGGAGTTAAGGGAGGGAGGGGAGGAGGAAGCACTAAGGGAAGGAAAGTGGTAGAGGATGGGCCACAAAGCCATGGGGAAAACAAAGCCAGGGAAGACCCACTGGAAAAAACAACTAAATTCCCAGACATTATCTCAAGATTTCTCTCTCATGGTAAAGGAGACAGGATAATGGGTACTGGTGGCCTCAACACTTCTTCACTCACTCGTTCATTCTTGTCAGCACAAAAAAGGCGGGTATGATGGCGTTTCTGCACCACAATGTAAGTGATCCCAGGCTGGTAGTCTTTTTCCAGTTTGATGCAGGCATCTCGAATGGCAAGCAGCTCATAGTGAAGGATCTAGGCCCATGGTCAAGAGGGAGAAAAAGACACAAGGCTCCTTTTTAATTCAAAGGCATCACTGAACTAAAAGCATTACAACTTGTATATGGCTTTTTGCATATAAGCTTCATAAGCTGATGCTCAACAATTAGAAATGAGAGGTTGTGATACTCATAATTCACTTCATATGTTCCCAGAAAACCTAGAAGTCTCAGCATCAGAAGACAATACCTATCCGGTCTCCATGCAAAAAGAGATGTTATAGAACTACATTAAGGCATGGAACTAGAAAAGTGTGGTGGTGCATAGCTTTAATCCCAATGCTCAGGAGGCAGCAATTCTCTATGAGTTTGCGGCCAGCCTAGTCTACATGGTGAGTTCCAGGACATCCAGAGCTACATAGTGAGTTACTGTCTTCAAAGAAGGAAAGAAATAAGGAGGGGAAAAAAGACACAGAACCAAAAATTACAGGACACTAAAAATTACACAATGTCTAAACTTAAGATGCAGGGCATAGTGGCGCACGCCTTCAATCCCAGCACTCAGGAGGCAGAGGCAGAGGCAGGCGGGTCTCTGAGTTTGAGGCCAGCCTGGTCTACAGAGGGAGTTTCATGGCTGTTATACACAGAAACCATGTTTCAAAAAACCAAAACCAAAACCAACCAAATAAACAAACAACCCAAACTTAAGATCAAGATTTCTAAGAGTAGACAGGGTTGAAATGCCAGAGAGGAGTAGATGTACAATAGGGAATAGATGCAGAAAGTCAAAACAAGCAGGGACTAGAATAGAACTTAAAGCAAATCGTGTGCCTTGTATTCACATAGCACTGGGTTCAATCTCAAGGAACATAACAGGAAAAAAATTTCATGAACTGAGCATAATGGTGCACACCTAGAACTCCAACACTGAGGAGGCAGGAGAAGGAGAGTCACAAGTGTGTGGCTAATCTGGGCTACAAGGAAAAAGAATTATTTGTATGGCAGAAAATGATGAGCTTTGAAATTAGCTAGACTTCAACAAGTTTTAACACTCCCAAGTCTCATTTTTACCAAATTTACTGATTTTACTAATAAGAATTATCTCCAACGGCCACTATGGTAACTGATAATTCAGTAAAAAATACAGGGATACAAGTCTTAGTGGAGCTGAATAGCTGCTAATTGTTTAGTGAAAACAGGTGGATTTTATTTAACATAAGGCTATGTGAAACTAGGCTCCAGGAAATGTTCAGGCATGGTAACACTTGTCTGGCTGCATTCAGGAGGCAGAGACAGTGTAAAGTTGTGGCCAGCCTGATCTACATAGTGAGTTCCAGGTCCAGCAGAGCTACATAGTGAGACCCTGTCTCAAAAGAAAGAAAGGAAGAAAGAAGGAAAGAAAGAAAACCACCAGTTCAAATGGTCTTCCACACTAACTACCAAAGGGCACGGAGAAATATGTGTTGAAACAAAGGTCTATAGATACTTACTACTCTACTTCTCATTTGTGATCCACGGCCTCTCTCAGCATCATTAGCTTTGAAAAAGTAGTCCTCTGGCCTCAACAAGAAACTGTACCAGCCTCTAGAACCATACCTGGGGTAGCTGGCCCTCAGGGACCCCATCTCGGTAGAAGATGATGCGGGTGGGCTTGAAGCGAGTGGACTTATAGAACTGGATGAGCAGCTCACGCACCATATAGGACAAGTCTTCAATGATCTCCTGCCGTGGGCGCTGCACACGCACAGTAGCACAGTATCGGCTGGGGTGTGCGTCCATACTGCCTACCACCTGACAACAAAGAGAAAGCATCAGCCTCCAGAATTATCACCTTCCAGTGCTGTGAAATAATGGGTCTACGGAAGGACTTCTGAGTAAGAATGCTGTGTGACTGAATGAGTTCACTTGGTTCCTAGACCAGGAGTCTTGGCAGCAGAGGACAGTCTCTATCTGGTCTCCATGAAGAAAGATTGAGGGTTAGGATCTAATAAACACTGGTTTCAATCTGTTCTGTTACAAAAGCAGAATTTACTAGGTATGTAACAAGAATGTTTGCTTTCAGTGCCCTTGCAGCACACAAAGTTTCTGGCCACAGGCTATACTTTCATTACTTCAACTCCCCCCCCATCCCACCCCTTCCTCCAAAGGGTGCCACTCAGAGTTAGGTTAGCAGGTAACAGGGATGGCACACTGAGAGCAAGGCTTGGGGATGGGACTTGACAGCACTCTGAAGGACTCAAGGGTTAGGGAGAATTACTGACCGCTGTGATAGACGGCTTCTTCCCGTCCCCGGCTGGGGGGTGTGTAACATCTGCGCCCAGGAAAATCACTGGCTGTTGAAAAACAGCAGAGCTGAGCAAGGAGAAAAAACAAAATGGTGAGGGATTGAGTCTTCTCTGGCTGGCACCGTCCAGTCCAGTCCCCATTCTAGTCTTCTCCCTCTTCTGTTTCAGTCACTCTGTCTGGAGAGGGTTCTTGTCCCTTCATCAATCCCCAGCAGGCTACCCTGACAAAAGCAAGTGAGTAAGAGTTCATACCGCTGGTGTGGGACTAGGATGTTGTTAATGCCACCAAGTTTGACGTTGATCTTGAGGCAGAGGTTGGACAGAGTCTGAGGTGAGGTCTTCACCACATTCTTCACCTGCACACACTGTGTTGCCATTCCCAAAAGTGTGTCTCCAACACGTTTCACTTCAGCTATGGGCAGAGAGAAAACTGATTAACACATTTGGCAAATTTACACAAAGTCTAGTAGATGTTCACACAGTATATGAAGTTCTAGGGAACACAATGGCCAGAAACATAGGGTTCCTGGTCCTTATTCTTACAGTGGTTAGTATCTAACACTAACCTTTAAAACCACAAAGAATGTAGCAGTGTTAAACGGAGCAATAAAAATGCCTAAGAGGGGACTGGAGAAATGGCTCAGAGGTTAAAAGCACTGACTGCTCCTCCAGAGGTCCTGAGTTCATAAGAGGGTAATAACCTAATCAGGAGCAGAGAATGACTTAACAGAAATCTGGAAAGCAGGGCTTTCAAAGTCTAAGCAGAGGAGAAACATACAAAAATGTAACCTGAGCCAGATATGAAGGTTGACACCTATAACCCCAGGAATTGGAGACTGAAGCAGGAAGAGCATGCCATTAATGGTAGCCTGAGTTACACTATAAGAGTCTCTAAACAAAGTGAAAGGAGCAAGCAACAGTCTATCTGAAAACAGTACGGTATTTTTTGAGTAATTCAGAGCACATTGTAAAAGAAAAGACTGTGACCATGAGACTGAGCTACAGAAGAGTGTGAGATGGCTTACTCAGGCAGTGGAGGGCTGGGGTCACAGGAAGTGGTACAGTCTATGTTTGAATATGGATAGTGCCTGGGTCAATCCCCAGCACATAAAAAGGCAGCTGAGTTATCTATCTGGAAACAAATGAGCTAAGAGATATCTAAGAACTCGCTCTTAGAATTTACGCATAGGGAAATGAATTTTTATGGATTATTTTATTAATAATTTTTTAGTCTAGCCAGGTAGTGGTGGCACATGCCTTTAATCCCAGCACTCCGGAGGCAGAGGCAGGGAGATCTCTGTGAGGTCGAAGCCAGCCTGGGCTACAGAGCGAGTACCAGGATAGGCTCCAAAGCTACACAGAGAAACCCTGTCTCAAAAAACAAAACAAAACAAAAGCAACAAACAAACAAACAAAAAGGCTAAAGAAATCCTTTCTACTTCTCTAAAAGAGAAGTAGAAAGTTAGCTGTAAATCTTTAGGAAACAAGATTCAGAAAAGCCAAACAAAATACTTTTTTTGATGGCAGAAAAATGCTAACCACAACTCATGAGACTGGAACTTCAGGGAGAGAGGTGCAAGTTTCAACAAAACAGAGGAGAAAAAAAAAAAAAGAACAAATCACAGTGCAAGGATAATATGTGCGATACAAATGTATATTCAATACAGAATACCTACTTATATGTCAATAAGTAAAAGGCAGCTAAGTAAATAAAAAATGTCATGAATAAGCACTTTACAAAACAGGCTAGCCAAGATTAAAGACAGAAACATCTAGAACTAGCAACCTCTGATGGTGGAAGTAAAGCCTGATGCACTTAAAACCCATTCGTAGACCTAGTCTCTACACATATAGGCACAAGTGCTCAGTCACACATTGGACACATATGTGCACCAACAACAGAATGAAACTAAGCATAAAGCATGCTATAGTCACACAAGGGAAACACATAAGAAATTACAACTATACATCCTATGGGTGAATCTCATAAACGGAATGTTAAGAACCCAGACACATTTTTAAAATACATACAGTTTAAGTACCATCGGCATAAAGTGAAAAACAGGCAAAGTTAACCTGTAGTGTTTGAGATGAGAACAGTGGTCACCACTTGAGGGAAGGGGTTGTAATGAGGGACCCCAGCGGGAGCAATGTTCTACTAGGCACACCTGTTACACTGTTGTGACACTTGGTGAAAAAAAATCATTAGGCTGAATACTCAAGATCTATTTACAGGGCTGGAAAGATATTCAGTAGTTAAGAGCACTGGGTGCTCTTCGAAATGGCCTGAGTCTGATTCCCAGCACCTAATGGCAGCTCACAACCATCCTGGATTCCCTGGGAACCAGGCATGCATATGGTGTACAGACATGCATGCAGGCAAAACACCCATTCACGTTAAATTTTAAAAAAATTTAAAGACTCATTTTTTTAAAACATCAGTTTATACATTAAAAAAGTGAAGAGTCAATAGTATCAATCCAATAGAAAAAAAAAAGACTTAAAAATATTAGAGATGGAATGTGCATAGGACTGAGTCAAAACTGAATAAATGTGATGTCCAACATTTTCTCCCTAACCACAAGTCAATAGGAGCTTGGTGTGAACATCAAAGGGATACTGTCATTTTACCCAGCCTCCCAGGAAGGGAGGTAAAGAGTCTTTAGAAGAATCCAAACTGCTTCTCTTATTTGTTGGCTTAATTCTAGACAGATGATATGACCTTGGTCATATCAACCAAGGAATTATATGTAAATTAAAGAGATCCAAGGTCTCAATAAAGGTCTAAAGTAGAAGAGAAATGTAACTTTACCTAGGGTAAACTAAAATAATACATTCTCCTCTTGATGGAAGAACCAGAAACATGGACACCTATTCAAAGGCAATTCTCCTAAAAAACAGCTTTAAAAAAAAAAAAAAAAAAAAAAAAAAAACAGACAAGGTTTCTCTGTGTAGCCCTGGCTGTCATGGAACTTGCTTTGTAGACCAGGCTGGCCTCTAACTCAGGATCTGCCTGCCTCTGCCTCCCAAGTGCTGGGATTAAAGAGGTACACCACCACTACCTGGCTAAAAAACAAACAGCAACACAAATCCTTCCATCTAAGGGGAAGGTGAGTTATACCAACTTTCCTCTATAAAGAATTACTGAATGTCATCGGTGAAAAATTCTTCTTTGGATGTGTATGTCAGAGAGCAGAGTTAGATCTACTTCATGCTCAAAATCAATCAAGGCAATAAGTGATCAAATTTGAATCAACCAAAGGAATCCAAAAGAGACACAGTAGGGCTGAAGACATAGACCAGTGGTTTACAGTACCTGCTGGAACTGAAGAGGACTCAAAGACTGGTCTTAAGAGTATTTAAGAGAACCTAAGTTTGGTTCCAGCACCCTTGTCAAGCAGCTCACAAATGCCTGTAACTCCAGCTCCAGGGGACCTGGCACACTCTTCTCTACTCACGTGTTCATGAACACAGGCACACATGCACACAGTTTAAAATGAAATAAATTGGAAAAAGAAGAAGAAGAAGAAGAAGAAGAAGAAGGAGGAGGAGGAGGAGGAGGAGGAGGAGGAGAAGGAGAAGGAGAAGGAGAAGGAGAAGGAGAAGGAGAAGGAAGGAAGGGGAAAAAAGCCAAAAGCCAAGCATGATGGCACATGCTTTCAATCCTTGCATTTGGGAGGCAAAGGCAGGCAGATCTTTGGATGAGAGGTCATAATAAATTGCAGGCCATCCAGAGCTACATAGTAAGACCCTGTCTCTCTCAAAAAAAAAAAAAAAAAAAAAAAAAAAAAAAAAAAAAAAAAGAGGATAATAGAAAATAAGTATAATCTAAACGAGGTTTTGAAAGGTGGAGGAAATTTTAAGGGTAAGATAGGCATAGAGAAGATTCATACATTCTAAGCAAAGGGAAAACTATGTGAGTAGACTGGAAAGCACAAACAAAGAATGAGCATTCAAAGTGCTGGCTCTTGTCAAGGACTCTGCTAGATGCTGCTTTTTACATAACCGACGCTCAGAGGAGTTTGGTAATTTGCCTTAATTGGTTGACTGGTAAAGGAAAAACTGAGATTGGGTTCTCATTTCAGAACAAGTAACCTTGTAGTAAGTTTGTTATGTGAATAATACAGGAAAAAGCTGAAAGGTTAAACATGAAGCACTGAATGAAGACCAGTGAAGTTTGGGGGCTTTGATGTTGTTTTTTAAAAAAGTCTGATTTATTAACCTATTCATGAAAGGTATGAGGGACTAGTGTTGGCTCAGCAGGGGTGTAGGGGGAAGGTGCTTGTAACAAAGCCTGAGGACCTGAGTCCAATCTTGGGAATTTATTTCGTAAAAGATGAGAACCAATTCTTCAAGTTATCTTCCAACATCCATTCACATACTACTGTGGCAGAGGTACAAACACAAACACACACACACACACACACACACACACACACACACACACTATGCCACTATATAAATAAAATGTTTAAAAATTTCCTTGAGAAGTAAGATTTGAAGAGATGATCAATAATCCTGTAGAAGGAGAAGACAAAGAGAATTCAATGACTTGTTTTAAGAGTATGGGGCTGGAGAGATTGCTCAGTGGTTAAGAGCACTCCAGAAGTCCTGAGTTCAATTCCCAGCCACCACATGGTTCACAAGCCATCTTAGGAAAAAAAAAAAAAAACAAGCAAAAATTACTATATTAAGGTAATAGGTAATGGCCAAAGCCAAAATGAGTGAGAATATCAGTAAGACAGATGAAAGGAAGAGGAAAGAAATTTTAGCATACCAGGCATTCCCAATAATGACAAAATAGACAAGAAATGTATCTGGAAGTCAAAGGAAGTGAAAACCAAGGTTCCCAATCCCACAGCTGAGTGAGGAGAATGAGATAAAGGGAAGCAGGCTACGGAGTAAGTGGCTGTTGAGGAAGTTTGCATGTAGAATAAGAAAAACAACTCGTTAAAAAAGAAAAACAAGGGCTAGAGAGATAGCTCAGAGATTAAGAGCACTGGCTGCTCTTACTCAAGTCTTTATTTTTTTTTTTTTTTTTTTTTTTTGTTT